GTACTGTCTGGCGGATACTTTGGGTAGCTAGCTGCCTTTCAATCAATTTTTATTTTGCTTTTTTATACGTTTTTGAACATAGCACTTACTCTAGTGTGGTCGTACTGCCCTTGCTGTAGACAACTACGTAGCATTTATTGACATAATCCTTGTAAATCTTTGTATAGAAGTGGTCTGAACTCGTTATCACAATTTGGCCACGTCAGGGTGACCCAATTGGAAGCACCTTGTCCGAAGTCCTCTGCTTCGTATCTACCGTATTAAAATTTATCTGACTATATATTAGCTCAAAACGGACAGTTAATCGGTTTTATTCAGCTTCCATAAATTACAATCAGTAGCACTATTTTTTTCGCGTTCTCTCTTTGATTATGCAATCACTGGGCTCCTGCGCTGCAATCCTGTGCCATGTCACCAATCGTTCCCCTGGGACTGAGGCATTAATGTCATGATCTAGTTTTTTGGTGTTCAAGCAGGATAAAAATTAACATCAAATTTATCTATTTTTATTTTGGGCTTAGCGAAATTTATAAATATTCCTTTCCAGCTGACGATATTTTTGACCTTGTTTTCTCAGCTTGGTCATATTAAAAGAAAGATCTAGAGGAACGCACCTTGTCTGGAGTCCATAGTATGCATGAGTTGGACCGTGGACTTGGTACACTCCCAGACGGTTCGCCGGCATCGTCATTGAGCCTTGCCATTCTTAGCACCGCACTAAAACTTGTCAAAGATACAAGTGAAGCCTTCATAGCTTGCTTATAAGAGACTTTTACCACAATTATATTGGCCTCGACAGCTCCGCGATTCAAGTTTTTGCAAGGGAGTTGTACTGCTAGCTATAATAACGTCATGTATGTTCGAAAATTATACAGATGATGTAAGAGCTCGTCTTCTGGCAAGTCTTGATATAAATCGCTATCCCAAGCATTTTCTATAGACACTAGCCGTTTTTCAATAGTGCTCGCTTATGCCAGTTCAAAAACAATTCATTCTTTCTATATTAGTTTACAGTTAGGGTGGAGTAATTTACAAATTTCGCTATTTATCCAGAAACGAAACTAATTAAATTTCCACTAATGATCTCATCGAGGATGATTTATGTATCTTATTATTACATTCAATTAAAATATGACTGGCTCTCAGAAAGCAAAGGCTTTGATAACCTTGTGGAAGAGCATGCGTCATCATGATCACATACTTTGGAGAAGGTAATTGGCTAAGAGCGTCTTTGAGCATACATAATGGGATCTATTCCAAATAATTGGCAAATCAAGGCACACCTAATTTAATAGATCTGACTATTGAAACCATTGATCTATGTTTATTCACTTTGTTTGTCCCTGTATGTGTTTAAATTAAAGTCCTCTAAACCCTAATTTATGGTATCTAAAATTTCTCACATCACGATTTGAGCGACTTGACGTACCAATATAACGTTTTTGCCGGGTATTTAAGCTAAAGGGAAACACTGAAATTCATTTTTTTTAAATCTTTTGGGGAAAAGGAATGTCAGATGCTTATTTTGCATACTTTCCTTAAATATATTATTTCGTTTATTTATTATTTGGGAATATTTTAAGCAATTTTTCACAAAATATTCTCCAAACTACTTCAGCTTCTCTTCACCGTCTCTCTTATGCTCTTGGTCTTTGGCTGGATGCCCTATCATCTTATAAGACCGAGCTGGACTACCTCGTTCATTTTCAGCGCAAACTCGAACGCGGTGTTCGTGACAGATCTGAGCTTTCTCCTCTCCATTCATATGAAGGTGATTTGACTAGAAATAAGAAGCTACCTCCAGCACATTTGCACCGAGCTCTTAGAAGCCTACAGCTAAATCTTATGGCAGCACTGCATAAGTGAGCTCCTATTATCTTAATTATACCTCATATTTTTAGGTTAGTATTGCAATTTGTGTGGTCCGATTGATTTCCTCATCGCTTAACATTTTAAATCTAAATGATATATAAGTATCATTTGATTTTTTAGCTATTTTATTCTACTCCGATGAAGATGATAATAAAAATCTTGTGACCTGGATATAACGTTAGACTAAAAAACGTGTTCTTCAAATCACATTTTTAAATATTGCATATCTTAGTCAATTCATTATCTCCAATATGGCCTTATGAGAGCCACCACATAGATATACGATTTAAATGTAAATTAGATGTAGATTTAATGTAAAAATGTGTTAGAGCTTTATGAATACTCCTTTCTAACAGTAAACTTGCAAGCCCGTGAAATTCATTAATAAAACCGTTTTAATTTAATATATATATTCCTGGTGAAATTAAATCATAAAGGCTATTTCTTGTCAGCTCAATCATATTTGGATTGTGCAAATCTATGGTGTTGTATTTAAAGTCTTTCCATATCTTTTTGGCTTTATTTGAGGCCTCACATTCTCAGATAACTCGTTTAGAGTGGTGTCCGAGTCATACCTTTGAAGGCCATTTTTCTAAGTGGGTTGACCTCGTTGTCGCAACTTGGTCTTGTTGTTAGGGTGACTTAGTAGAACGCCGTTCTTACTTTTTAAACTGTTGTTAACGTTATGGTATCACTCCTAAGTTCTGTGACCTTAAGAGACCCTACCACTCGGATGTTAATGAGTATCTCCACCAGGCTTCTATTCAGGAACTAAGTGAGACCTATGATACAGAACGGAATAAGTCGTTTAAGTTTATAGATATTAAGTCAAAGCTCCGGCGTGATTTGGCTAGGATGCTGTCTCCGAAAGATTTTCAAAAACTCCAGAGCATGACTGATAGGAAATCACGTGTGATTTCTGACTTAATAACAAAACGGCATGATTATATATTGCGTAAGTTTGGTATTATAAGACAGCCTAAGTTAAAGCCAGTACGCCCAGTTGAAGTGGCTTCTGAGGTGACAACGACTACTGATCAGCATGATGATCAGAAGAAAGTACTAAACTTATCATAAATTCTTCTCAATCTCAAAACAACCGCGTTCCTGGAAAAAGGATTCAATTTTGCAATTTAACCTCACAGAAACCTTCTAGGAAACATCCTGGTGGAGGTTTTAAATATCGCCGACAAGTTCCATGAGGAGACAAAACAGGGAATGTAGAATGGACTAATTCCAAATATCTTGACACATCAGGAGCCTACACACAGGAACAGATTTGCGGTGATATGCAAAACCCTGGAAACGAATGAACAATTAGTCCTTCAGACAGACTAAAGGAGGAGCTACAGTGATAATGGACAAAAAACAATATACCGAGATGGAACAAATTCTACGATACAGGACCACATATCGTATACTAAACAAGGACCCAGCTATGAAGATAAAGGAATCTTAAGTGCCATGCTGAACTATATGCATAGGAATGGGGAAATTTACGCATGAACAAGAAATTCAATAATAAGAAAGGATGCACAACCACCAACAGCGTACGGATTACCGAAGATACTCAAAGAAGGCGAGCCACTAAGGCTGATAGTCAACAACAAGTATGGAGCAACACACAAATGAGCAAGGTTTCTATGCTTGAAATTCAATAAATTATATTAGAGGCTATCAAACACGTTGAAACATTCATAGGAATTTCTTCAAAAAATCAAAAACATGGCACTGGAAGAAACGGACTTATTGGTAAGTTTCGATGTGGAATCCATGTATAAAAATATCTCTGGAGAAAATGCGCTAACAGCCATGCTGGAAATCCTGAACCGAAAGGAGGATATCCTGGACCGAGAGGAGGATATCCTGGAATCACAACTGATCGGTAGGGAGTCGTTAATTAGACTAATCAACTTGACAATAAGGACATCCTATTTCACATTAAACAGGAACATTTATGAACAAATATTTGGACTTCCCATGTGATCGCCGCTCTCACCACTTTTGGCAAACTTATACATGAACAAAATAGAAGAGAATTTAAGATGGCATCGCTACAACCAGCAGTACTAATGTAGGACCTGGATGATTATTTCGCACTTTTGTCACATGGAAGAGAAAATCTGGAAGAGTTTCTGAAGTTTGTAAACCAGATTGATTAAAGAATTCAATTCACGATGGAAGTAGAGGAAGGTGAGCGGTTACCATTCCTGAACGTTGAAGTGATTAGCTCTAATGGGATGCTCAAAAATAAATTGTTCAGAAAGAAGTCATATGCTGGGAGAATACTCAATTTCCGGTCCTATCACTATTACAGGCTAAGGATAGGAATAATGAGGAGCATGATCGTCCGAAGCCTACGATTAACGGATGTAGAATTCTGGGACTAGGAGCTGGACAAATTGACTAGGATTTTGAAGATATGAAGACCAAGATGTTGTGGCCTCTGGTATGACTAGGACATAAAGAGGAGTGATAGTGTAAACGTTTTCGGCAGAACGTTTGTCGAGGGATTGACTTCACTTGTCTCTTTGACGAGTTCGTATCTTGGTGCG